CTTGACTGCGCCGAGCTTGGGAAACCTCTGATTCCCCAAGCTTGGGAACCCAAGCTCCCCCCAGCTTGACTGAGCCAAGCTTGTACACCACAGGTTCCCCAAGCGTGGCAAACCCAAGCTTCCCCCAGCTTCACTGAGCCAAGCTTGGGAAACCCCTGACCCCCCAAGCTTGGGAAACTCAGGTCCCCCAAGCTTGGGAAACCCAAGGTTCCCCCAGTTTGACTGAGCCAAGCTTGGGAAACCCAAGGTTCCCCAAGCTTGGGAAACCCAAGCTTCCCCAAGCTTGACTGAGCCAAGCTTGGGACGCACTAGGTTCCCCAAGCTTGGGAAACCCAAGCTTCCACCAGCTTGACTGCGCCAAGCTTGGGAAACCTCTGGTTCCCCAAGCTTGGGGAACCCAAGCTTCCGCAAGCTTGACTGGGACATCCTTGGAAACCTCTGGTTCCCAAGCTTGGGAAACCTCTGGTTCCCAAGCTTGAGAAACCCCATATAAGGAATCCAATGTAGAGAAGCCCCACATAGGGAATGCCCATATGGGGAAACCCCTATGGGGATTCCCCGCGTAAGGAACCCTAATATGGGAAATCACCAGATGGGGATCCCTCATAAGGGGGGTCCTCGTATGGGAATACCCCGTACGGTGCGTCGCATATACGGAATCTTCGTGTGGGAAAACCCCATATAAGGAATCCCTATATGGGGTCTCCTCATGTTGGGGGATCACCATGTTAGGAATCACCATTTCAAGAACCTCCATGTGAGGAATCCCCATGTAGGGAATCGCTTATTTGAGGATTTCCTATATTAGAACTCCGTATATTAAGGCCCCCATACATGGGGTTCCTTGTATGGGGATTCCTTGCATGGGGACTCTCTATATGAAAGGGGTTTCCAACATTGGGATCCCGTACATGGCGATTCCCCGTATGGGTATTCCCCATATGGCGATTCCCTATGTTGGGTTTCCAAATGGGGATTGCCCATGCGGGAACTCCCCATGGCAGCCCCCGGAACTCTCACAACTCCCGTAGTCCTGACAGCCGCTGCCCCTTGACTCAAACGCAAAGCGCTGGCGCGGACAGGAACCGTATTCATTTCAAACGACGGGGGCCAGCGCAGCGCGCCCTTACCCCTTGACTCAATCGCAAATCGCGCGCGCGGACAGGGACCGTTTTTTCTCCAAATGACGGGGGCCAGCGCAGCGCGCCCGTGCCGCTCCACTCAAACGCAAAGCGCGTGCGCGGGCAGGATTCTTTTCCAAATGAACGGGGGCCGCAATGACGCGACTCGACGGCGTGGCGTTGAGCTCGACTGGCAGCCCGCTCCGCGCAGACCCGCTGCCCACGCGCCCTGCCGCCACCGCGCCCCGAACAAACACCACAGGCCCAAGAGCTTCGTAAGATGTCGCCCTGGACCCCGCGACCGCCGCGCGTGCCTATCGGGGCAGTCGCCGCCAGCGCCGCTACCAACGCAAGGATTCTCGCCCAAGCGGCCCTCGCCCACGGGGCCCTCGCCCACGCTGCAACGAAGAATTGAGCCTGGAGCCAAAATGGCAACGAGCCAAAATGGCGACGAGGGAGGAGGAGGAGAGGAGGAGGAGGGGAAGGAGGCGGAGGAGGAGGAGGGAGAAGCGCGGGTGCGGGACAAGAGAAACCCAAACACGGAGAAACTTGCCTGCAAAACCTCCTCCTGCTCCTGCTGTCGAACAACGGCGGCCGCAACTGCAGCGGCGATGGCGCCCCGCCGGACCAGTGCTGGCACGAAGCGCGCGCCTGTCGCCATCTCCTCGTCCTTCTCCGCCTCCTCGTCCTCCTCCCCCTCCGCCTCCTCCTCAGGGGTCCTGGTGTTTCCTGGTCCCTCCTGGGCTCAGGGGTCCTGGTGCTTCCTGGTCCCTCCTGGTCCCTCCTGGTCCCTCCTGGTCCCTCCTAGTCCCTCCTGGTCCCTCCTGGTCCCTCCTGGTCTCTCCTGGTTCCTTCTGGTCCCTCCTGGTCCCTCCTGGTCCCTCCTGGTCCCTCCTGGGCTCAGGGGTCCTGGTCCCTCCTGGCCCCTCCTGGCCCCTGACCCACAACCCAGGCACTTATGTTATCATATGTTTTGGGTTATGTTTGCGTTGGCACTTCTTCTGTTTTGTACTACTTGTTTTGTTTTTTTTCGGCTCTCTGCCCTGCCGGACAGCTGAGTACCCAGTGTGCGGCTGATGACACAGAGCGGTCGGCGCACGGCTCGCGCAGCTGGCGCGGTACGTATAAAGCAAATCGCGCACCATCTTTGTGTGCGACGCATGTCTATGTAGCGAATCTCTCTCTCCACGCACTTCACATGTTCTGGATGACAGCCAGGGCGCCAGATGCGCCCAGACCACGCGCCAAACGCGCGCCAACATGAAAGTAATGTACTCATGGAAGTGCCATTTCTTCTTGATGTGTCTGGGATCCCATGCATTTTTCCTCACGGTAACTTCAGGTCTGGGGCGCCCGCAGCAACTCACTCGTCAGGGACGGGAATGCGATCTCTCGTGCTCTTGTCCTCTCTGTTCCAGAACACGATGGCCTCCCGGTACCCGGCCTTCCTGCTCTTCACCCAATCCTCGCCAATGCCGAGGCCCCTCACGCCGAGCCTCTTGATCTTGGCCTTTATCTTCGGGCCCCACACGGCCAAGCGACTCACCACCTGCACTCCCGCCGGAACCCCACCGCTTGAGCCCCACCGCTTGAGCGTCCGGCCGCGCGGCTTCGGCGCTGCCTTCTTCAAGTGCTTCTTGGCGACTCCGCGCTGGCGGCAGGGACGAGAGGGAGCGCCGGCGCTCGCTGCCATCGCTGAGACAAGCGCCGGCGCCGGTGCCTCTGGCGGCTGCTCCTCGCCCGGGTGGTCATCGGCTGCATCCGTCAGCGCCTGCCGTTCCAAGTCCTGCAGCGCCGCCTGCTCCGCTTCTTGGGCCCCGCCCAGCAGTGCCGGCCCCTCCGCGTCCAGCTCCTCGTCGGAAACGAGCCACGGATCACCCATTCCGCTGGAGGAGGCCGGTGCTCGCGCCTGCGGGGCGACGCGGCGTGGCGGCGGAGCCCGGGTCGGGCGAAAGGGGGGGATAGCAAAGGGGGGGTTTGAGAATCAGCTCACGTAGCTGATTTTCCCGGCGCCTCCCGGCGCCGGAGGCGGCTATGTATCGAGGAATGGGCCCCTCGGTGAGGCCGAAACCAGCTGCATGCAGCAAATTTCGTAACCCCCCCTTTCCCAATCCCACCCTTTCGCCCGGCCCGAGGCTGGCGCTCTGCTGCTCGCCTCCTCGGGGGCCGCCGGGCCCTTGAGCCGCGACGGCGAGAATGATGATGGCAATGCTTATGATGATGGCGATGGTGATGACGGTTCTGGTGTTCATGGCGGCGGTCAGTGCTCTGGCAGTGTCGCAACGAGGAAGTTCGAGTCGTCGTTGCGCGGGCACAACGACGACGTGCTCGAGGGGTCGGCCCCGGGGCCGGTGGCTTGCCTGAGGGCGCTGACCCACAACCCAAGCCTCAGGTCTCTGACCCGCAACACAGGCATCCGAAGTGTCCATGACACACAACCCAGGCAAGGCGGCGAGCCTCAGACGACATGCGTCCGAAGTGTGTCTGACCCACAACACAGGCATCCGAAGTGTGTATGACCCACAGCCCAGGCATCCGAAGTGTGTATGACCCACAGCCCAGGCATCCGATACGTCTCATAACCACAACCCAGGCACTTGTGCATGCATATTTTGTGTTGTTTTTTTTTGTTTTGGTGTTGCTTGTTATGTCATTCGGCCATTGGGGCTCCTGGGGGGTGGCGCTTGGGACCACACGAGGATCCGCCACTTACGCCACCCCCAGGATGCCCCAGTCCTCGTCGCGAGATGTTGTTCCCTGACGCACAACCCAGGCATCAAGGGTGTCCCTCACACGCCACCCAGGCACGGTGGCGAGCCCGAGGTCCCTAACGCACAACCCTGGCGTCAGAGAAGTGTCATAACCACAGCCCAAGCACTTGTGTTTTCATATTTCTTGGGCGCTATTTTGTCCTCGTTGTTATGTCATCAGGTCCCTGACGCACAACCCGGGCACCCGAGATGTCTCTGACACACAACCCAAGCACGGCGGCCAGCCTGAGGTCTGTGACGCACAACCCAAGCATCCGATAATGCTCATAACCACAACCCAAGCACTTCTGTTTCCATGTCTTTTTGGATATTTGTTGTTGTCATTTGTTATGTCGTGAAGTCCCTGACGCACAACACAGGCATCCGGTATGTCTCTAACGCACAACCCAAGCAAGGTGGCGAGCCAGAGGTCCCTAACGCACAACCCTGGCACCCTCGAGACCTCCAAACCACAACCCAGGCACGTGTGTTTATATATATGTTTTGTTCTTTTTTGTTGTCATGTGTTATGTCATTAAGTCCCTGACGAACAACCCAGGCATCCGATATGTCTCTGACCCACAACCCAGGCACGGTGTCGACCCTTCTGGGGCTCCTTGGGGGTGGCGCTTGGCCTGAGGGCGCTGACCCACAACCCAAGTCCCAGGTCTCTGACCCACAACACAGGCATCCGAAGTGTCTAGGAGACACAACCCAGGCAAGGTGGCGATCCTCAGACGACATGCGTCCGAAGTGTGTCTGACCCACAACCCAGGCATCCGAAGTGTGTGCGACCCACAACCCAGGCATCCGACAAGTGTCAGGACCACAACCAGGGCACTTCAGTTTTGATATTGTCTTGTTCTTTTGGTGCTGCCGGACAGCTCCGTACCCAATGCGCGGCGGCACATCGACGACGTGCTCGGGAGGTCGGCCCCAGAGCCGTTGGCTAGCCTGAGGGCTCTGGCACAAAACCGAAGCCTGAAGTCTCTGACCCACAACCGACGCATCCGCAGTGTCTGTGACCCACAACCCAGGCACGGCTGTTTTCATATGTTTCTCTTCTCTTTCGTTGTGTTTGTTGTTTCGTTGTGGTGTCATTATTCTGTTTTGTTGTTTCTTCTTTTTTCGGCCGCCTACCCTGCCGGACAGCTCAGTGCCCAATGTGCGGACATTCGGGCGGCGAGCTGCAAACACTAGCACTACCCCGCAGTGACTGCGGCAGGGATGGCAGGCGGCCACTCGTGCACGCCCTCTGGGTACGCCTCTGGCCCAAGCCACGTGCTAAGCAAAATGATCGCGTACACGAACGCTTTCGGAGCCACCATGCCGCACGTCTCCAGCAGGGCGGGAGGCTGCCACCGTCTGCGGAACAGGTCCGCGCCGCCAGGGGCGCACTGGTTGATGAGCCGGTGCAGGGCGGCGGCGGCGTCCGCCGCTCCTCCCCGGCCGCCCTCCGTCGCCCAGGCCTGGCCGAAGAGAGTCCACTCGAACTCCCTCGTGGTGGACGGTTTCCCCCGGGGCCGTAGGCGACTTAGGAGGCTCCCCAGGGTTGGTTTTAAAGCTCGGGCCCGACAACGGGCCCCTGAGGCCAAACTCGAAGAAAAACCTTCGAGGATAGGAGGTCCACGAAAAACTCCACGAAGAAACGGCGAAAAGTCCAGGAGGAGGAGGAGGAGGAGGACGGGGTCGCCGAAGCCCTTCCGAGAAACCGTCCAAACCTCGTGCACAACACGCGTGTCCGTGTCGTTGATTGGGTTCGGCGTGCACAACACGCCGAACCCAATCAACGAGGACATGCGCTGGAGCTGGCTGCGTTCCTGCGGGTCGTCCGACCGCCGCCTCCTCTGCTGCCGGTCCTCCGCGCCCGCCCCTGCTGGGGTCAGGCGCCCAGCCTTGCTCTTGCCGGCCCACTCCGCGTAGACCCGCTTCAGCCGGCACGCCACGGCATTGGAGGGCGTCAGGTTGAACATGTTGGTGGCGAGGGCACCCCACGGCATGCGAGTGTAGTGGATGCCAGCTCCTGCTTGCTCCTCGACCCAAGCGCCAATGCGCGCGCCCATCTCCAGCCTCGTGCTGATCGGCAACGCGGACGACCGCCCTTGCCGCCCAGCTCGTCGCCGAGCCCGAGGCTCGGGCGCAGCCTGCTCCAGACTGCCGCGAAACAGGGCGGCCTGATCGTTAAAGGTTCAACGTTTGGCGCTTGCCACAACGGCGAACCCTTCAAACTGCAATGATTCACCCTCGTGACAACGGCCAATCGTTGAACCTTAAACTTTCGGGCAACCTTGCGTCGAGCACGTCTTCGTCGTCTCCGTCCTCGTCGTCGTCGTCGTCGTCGTCGTCGTCGTCGCCGTCGTCGGCGACTCCAAAGGAGACGACGACGTCGCCGACGACGACGACGACGACGGAAACGACGAGGCCGAGGACGAGGACGACGACGACGACGACGGCGCCTGCGCCGCCAGCGCGGCCAAGTAAGCCATGCCAGCGCGGCGCTGCGAAGCGCCTCTGTCGGCGCGGGAGGCGGAGGCGCCGCGGGGCAGCCCCTCGGCGGCCGCCGCCGGAGGCGCCGCGGGGCATCCGCTCGGCGGCCGCCGCCGGAGGCGCCGCGGGGCAGCCGCCGCTGGAGGCGCCGCGGGGCGAGCCGCCGCTGGAGGCGCCGCGGGGCGAGCCGCTTGGCAGCTAAGCCGAAAAAAGGCTACAAATGTACTGGCGTTGACGCAGGCCCCACAACCCAGGCATCCGACGTGTGTATGACCCACAACCCAGGCATCCGAAATGTGTGTGACCCACAACCCAGGCAATGTGGCGACCCTCAGGCCACATGCATCCGCTGTGTGTCTGACCCACAACCCAGGCATCCGAAGTGTGTATGACCCACAGCCCAGGCATCCGAAACGTCTCATAACCACAACTCAGGCACTTGTGTTTCCATATTTTGTGTTGCTCTGCTTTTTTTGTTGTTGCTTATGTCATTCCGCCATCGTCCGCCATTCCGCCATGGGGGTGGCGCTTGGGACCACGCGAGGATCGGCCACTTACGCGCAAACCAGGCGTCCGAGAAGTGTCATAACCACAACTCAAGCACTTGTGTTTGCATATTTTTTGGGCGCTGTTTTGTCGTCATTGTTATGTCATTAGGTCCCTGACGCACAACCCGGGCATCCGAGATGTCTCTGACACACAGCCCAGGCACTTACGGCAAGCCTGAGGTCTGTGACGCACAACCCAGGCATCATAAATGTCCCTAACACGCCACCCAGGGGCGCTGGCGAACCTGAGGTCCCCAACGCACAACCCAGGCGGCCGAGAAATGTCATAACCACAACCCAAGCACTTGTGTTTTCATATTTTTTTGGGCGCTACTTTGTCGTCATTGTTATGTCAGTAGGTCCCTGACACACAACCTGGGCATCCGAAATGTTTCTGACACACAACCCAGGCACGGCGGCAAGCCTGAGGTCCGTGACGCGCAACCCAGGCATCCGAAGTGTGTATGACCCACAGCCCAGGCATCCGATACGTCTCATAACCACAACCCAGGCACTTGTGTTTCCATATGTTGTGGTGCTCTTTTTTTTGTTGCTTGTTATGCCTTTAGGCCATTGGGACTCCTGGGGGGTGGCGCTTGGGACCACACGAGGATCCGCCACTTACGCCACCCCCAGGATGCCCCAGTCCTCGTCGCGAGATGTGGTTCCCCGACGCACAACCCAGGCATCAAGGGTGTCCCTCACACGCCACCCAGGCACGGTGGCGAGCCTGAGGTCCCTAACGCACAACCCAGGCGTCCGAGAAGTGTCATAACCACAACCAAAGCACCTGTGTTTTCCTTTTTTTTTTTGGCGCTATTTTGCCATCGTTATTATGTGAGTAGGTCCCTGACGCACAACCTGGGCATCCGAGGTGTCTCTGACACGCGACCCAGGCACGGCGGCAAGCCTCAGGTCCGTGACGCACAACCCAGGCATCCGAAGTGTGTATGACCCACAGCCCAGGCATCCGATACGTCTCATAACCACAACCCAGGCACTTGTGTTTTCATATTTTGTGTTGCTCTTTTTGTTGTTGTTGTTTGTTATGCCTTTAGGCCATTGGGGCTCCTGGGGTGTGGCGCTTGGGGCCACACGAGGATCCACCACTCACGCCACCCCCAGGATGCCCCAGTCCTCGTCGCGAGCTGCAGTTCCCTGACGCACAACCCAGGCATCAAGGGGGCCCCTCACACGCCACCCAGGCACGGTGGCGAGCCTGAGGTCCCTAACGCACAACCCCGGCGTCCGAGAAGTGTCATAACCACAACCAAAGCACTTGTGTTTTCATATTTGTGGGGCGCTATTTTGTCGTCGTTGTTATGTCATTAGGTCCCTGACGCACAACCTGGGCGCCCGAGATGTCTCTGACACACAACCCAGGCACGGCGGCAAGCCTGAGGTCTGCGACGCACAACCCAGGCATCCGAGAATTCTCAGAACCACAACCCAGGCACTTGTGTTTCCATGTCTTTTGTGATATTTGTTGTTTTCATGTGTAATGTCATTAAGTCCCTGAGGCACAACAAAGGCATCCGGTATGTCGGCAACACACAACCCAAGCACGGTGGCGAGCCAGAGGTCCCTAACGCACAACCCTGGCATCCGAGATATCCCAGAACCACAACCCAGGCACTTGTGTTTATATATGTTTTGTTCTTCGTTGTTGTCATGTGTTATGTCATTAAGTCCCTGGCGATCAACCCAGGCATCCGATATGTCTCTGACCCACAACCCAGGCACGGTGTCGACCCTGAGGTCCCTGACGTGCAACCCAGGCATCCGAGATGTCTCTGACCCACAACCGAGGCATGGTGGCGAGCCTGAGATCCCGAACTCGCCGCCCAAGCATCCGAAATGCCTCCGACCCACAACCCAAGCCGGTTTGCGGTCTGATCCCTCCTGGGCTCAGGGGTCCTGGTGCCTCCTGGTCCCTCCTGGTTCCTCCTGGTCTCTCTTGTTCCCTCCTGGTCCCTCCTGGGCTCAGGGGTCCTGGTCCCTCCTGGTCTCTCCTGGTCCCTCCTGGTCCCTCCTAGTCCCTCCTGGTCCCTCCTGGTCCCTCCTGGTCTCTCCTGGTCCCTCCTGGTCCCTCCTGGTCCCGCCTGGTCCCTCCTGGTCCCTCCTGGGCTCAGGGGTCCTGGTCCCTCCTGGTCCCTCCAGGTCCCTCCCGGTCCCTCCTCGCCCCTCCTGGTCCCTCCTAGTTCCTCCTGGCCCCTCCTGGTCCATCCTGGTCTCTCCTGGTCCCTCCTGGTCCGTCCTGGTCCGTCCTGGTCCCTCCTGGTCCCTCCTGGTCTCAGGGGCCCTGGCCCCTCGTGGCCCCTCCTGGTCCCTGATCCACAACCCAGGCAATTATGTTTACATTTTTTTTTGGTTCTGTTGGCGTTGGCACTTCTTCTGTTTTGGAATTCTTTTCTTTTTTTTGTTCGGCCGTCTGCCCTGCCGGACAGCTGAGTGCCCAGTGTGCGGCTGACGACACAGAGCGGTCGGCGCACGGGTCGCGCACCTGGCACGGTACGTATGTAGCAAATCGCGCACAATCAAAGTGTGAGACATATGTCTATGTAGCGAATGTCTCTCCACGCACTTCACATGTTCTGGATGGCAGCAGGCTTGGCGACGAAGACTGCCCCGCGCATCACCGCCTTCACGTTCACGAGCGCGGGCACCAGGATCGTCACCGTTGGGGTTTTATCTTTCCCACGCTGCTTGCGCCCATCCTGCTTGAACTCGCAGGAGATCTCTTGCGTCAGGCACCTCGCCTCCAAGTTCCCCACCGTGGTGTCGGCCGCCGTCGCCTCCAAGACCGCCCAGAAGGGCGACACCCCTAGGGCCTTGCCTGGCTTGAACTGGGCGAGGGGGCTCTGGATGATGTATTTCGATAGGTCGTCGCAGATGTCGTAGGCTCCGATTTCTGTCGTTACCAAGTAGGGGTGCTGCGGATGATGCGATTTTGGCCTCCTCATCTTGGCCCCCTCCGAGAAGTCGTGCACAGGTCCGTGCGGAATCAACACCACCTCGCCGACTGCGAAATCTTTCGCGGCCCTCGCCTGAAACACACACGGGTTTGAGGACTCCATGCTGTGGACCGTGATATTGGCAGCGCACCCGCTGTGTTTGACCTGCAGCTGCTGCAGGGCCGTCTGCATCCAGCGTCCAGCTCCTCGTCGGAAACGAGCCACGGATCACCCATTCCGCTGGAGGAGGCCGGTGCTCGCGCCTGCGGGGCGACGCGGCGTGGCGGCGGAGCCCGGGTCGGGCGAAAGGGGGGGATAGCAAAGGGGGGGTTTGAGAATCAGCTCACGTAGCTGATTTTCCCGGCGCCTCCCGGCGCCGGAGGCGGCTATGTATCGAGGAATGGGCCCCTCGGTGAGGCCGAAACCAGCTGCATGCAGCAAATTTCGTAACCCCCCCTTTCCCAATCCCACCCTTTCGCCCGGCCCGAGGCTGGCGCTCTGCTGCTCGCCTCCTCGGGGGCCGCCGGGCCCTTGAGCCGCGACGGCGAGAATGATGATGGCAATGCTTATGATGATGGCGATGGTGATGACGGTTCTGGTGTTCATGGCGGCGGTCAGTGCTCTGGCAGTGTCGCAACGAGGAAGTTCGAGTCGTCGTTGCGCGGGCACAACGACGACGTGCTCGAGGGGTCGGCCCCGGGGCCAGTGGCTTGCCTGAGGGCGCTGACCCACAACCCAAGCCTCAGGTCTCTGACCCGCAACACAGGCATCCGAAGTGTCCATGACACACAACCCAGGCAAGGCGGCGAGCCTCAGACGACATGCGTCCGAAGTGTGTCTGACCCACAACACAGGCATCCGAAGTGTGTATGACCCACAGCCCAGGCATCCGAAGTGTGTATGACCCACAGCCCAGGCATCCGATACGTCTCATAACCACAACCCAGGCACTTGTGCATGCATATTTTGTGTTGTTTTTTTTGTTTTGTTGTTGTTTGTTATGCCTTTAGGCCATTGGGGCTCCTGGGGGGTGGCGCTTGGGACCACACGAGGATCCGCCACTCACGCCACCCCCAGGATGCCCCAGTCCTCGTCGCGAGATGTAGTTCCCTGACGCACAACCCAGGCATCAGAGATGTCCCTAACACGCCACCCAGGCACGGTGGCGAGCCTGAGGTCCCTAACGCACAACCCAGGCGTCCGAGAAGTGTCATAACCACATCCCAAGCACTTGTGTTTTCATATTTTTTGGGCGCTATTTTGTCGTCAGTGTTATGTCATTGGGTCCCTGACGCACAACCCGGGCATCCGAGATGTCTCTGACACACAACCCAAGCACGGCGGCAACCCTGAGGTCCGCGACGCACAACCCAGGCATCCGATAATTCTCATAACCACAACCCAGGCACTTGTGTTTCCATGTGTTTTTGGATATTTGTTGTTGTCATGTGTTATGTCATTAAGTCCCTGACGCACAAAACAGGCATCCGGTATGTCTCTAGCACACAACCCAAGCACGGTGGCGAGCCAGAGGTCCCTAACGCACAACCTTGGCACCCGAGAAGTCTCAGAACCACAACCCAGGCACTTGTGTTTATTTTTTTTGTCATTTGTTATGTCATTAAGTCCCTGACGAACAACCCAGGCATCCG